TGAGAGAGACAGAGCACGAGCAGGGGAGGGGCAGAGAGAGAGAGAGACACAGAATCCGAAGCAGGCTCCAGGCTCTGAGCTGTCAGCACAGAGCCCCATGTGGGGCTCGAACCCATGAACTGTAAGATCATGACCTGAGCTGAAGTCAGACGCTCAACTGACTGAGCCCCCCTCCAGGCGCCCCTGGTAGCAGATATTTTTATTACTTTTTTTTTAAAGTTTACTTATTTTGAGAGAGAGAGAGAGACAGATAGAGAGAGAGAGAGAGAGAGAGAGAGAGCGAGAGAGAGAATCCCAAGCTGGCTCCATGCCATCAATGCAGAGCCAGACATGGGGCTAGATCTCATGAACCCGTGAGATCATGACCTGAGTGAAATGAAGAGTCAGACGCTTAACCAACTGAGCCGCCCAAGTGTGCCAAGATTTGTATTTTTTTATTTCTTTATTTTTTATTTTTTAAAGTAATCTCTACCTATGGTGTGGGGCTTGAACTTGTAATCCCAAGATCAAGAGTTGCATGCCCTTCGGACTGAGCCAGCCAGGAGACCTTCAGCTCACTATTTTTAGCTGACAGTTTCCATCTAATATTCTTTATTTTTTACGTCAGAGTGGATACATTAAGCTAGATTCTACTCAGCAAGGAGACTAACAGACTTAGTACCTTTTTATCATCATAATAGACTGCATTAAATATTATTAATAGAGTAGGCCTCAGTAGAAATGGGGCATCTTCCATAATAACCGTTTATAAACAGCATTCACTTCTTTACTACAGTGTAGGTTCAGTGAGAGTGAGGGTCTCATGCGCCTTCTACACCAGTGTTTCCCCGGAGCCTGGCATACTGCCTGACCTATGAGAGGCACTGGTTGGATTATTTCCAGAAGCCTCCTATGGGCCAGGCCCTTTGCTGGGCCCTGGGGGCCCCCAAATTAATCAGGCCTCGTTCCTGCCTTGGAGTTCTTGACGTCTGAGCATGTGTGGAAAGGGGTGGAAGGAGAGACACTTTGGATCACGCCAAGTAAAGGTGGTCCCGGGAGATAATAATTGGGCTAGGGGTGTGGGAATGGCGTCCAGGACTGAGGGTGGAGGCTTCGGATTGGAGGACCTCAGCTCTGAAGACAGAACCAATAGAATAGAAAGACCAGGTGTCTAGGTGATCCAGGTGGGCCCGAGGACTGGGCAGAGTTTCTGCAGGATGGAGCCTCGGAAGGAATTCCCCGGGGCTGGGAGAGGCTGGAGAAAGTTAGAAGGGACTGGGGTGACCTGGAAACACTGGTGGCACTTGGGCAAGACTGGCAGAGACCCAAGGAGACCAAAAACTGGGACAGTGTCGGGGAGCCAGGGACCTGAGGTCTTGGGAAAAGCTTCAACACACACGTCTTGTCAAGAAAAAGGATGGAGGTTCTGGAGGACAGTTCCATTTTCAACGTCACGTCAGCTGATTCAGGCTCTCCTGGAGGCCGTAGTCTGTCCTTATTGGCTTGAGGGGCATGTGCTGGAGGGCACCAAGAACCTGGGCCCACAGTCAGCCTTTGATGCCAACAACCGCGGAAGCCTGTTGGAGCCTGGTGCGGCCACGTGTGTGTGCACACGCGCGTGCCTGTGCCTGTGTGTGCATGTGCCGTGGTGAGGGTGGGACTCAGGGAGATGAAGCAGGAGGGGTGTCTGGTTGGTTCAGTTGGGAGAGCATGTGACTCTTGATCTTGAGATCGTGAGTTTGAGCCCCATGTTGGGTTAGACATTAAATCAATAAACTTAAAAAAAAAAAAAAAAAAAGAGATGAACCAGGGTCAAAGGCTGGGGACTGGAGGTGGAATGTAAATGAAAATGAGTGGGATTGAGGTAGGATTTATAGGACTTGGGGTGGAGTAGGAGGAAGAGGGGCTTGGGGCCAGAAATATGATCTGGCACGGGGATGGGAGTGAGGATAAGGTTGAGTCTCAGGATGAGGATGGGTTTGAGTTGGGGATTGAGCTTGGTTTTGGAGATGGGGTTGGGGTTGAGTTTGGGGCTGGGTTTGTGAGTAAGAGGATGGAGGTTAGGTCAGGTGGCAGGACAGGGTTAAGGAGTAGGTTGTGCTTGTGCTTGGGGATGGGACTGGCCTTAGCGTTGGTGTTGGCGATGAAAGTGGGGTCTGGTTTAGGAATTGAGGTGGAGTTGAGTTTGTTAGAGCTGGGTAGAGCTGGGTTATAAATGGGGCTGGGTTTGGGGTTAGGGATGAAGTTATGGATTGGGTTGAGTTGGGGTCAGGTTTGGGAATGAGAATAGGGTTGGGTTGGAGGATAGGGATGGAGTTCAGGATGGGGTTGGGTTTGAAATGGGGTAGAGACTGCAGATGGGCCCTGTGATCTGACACCTCCTTCGTCACACCTCCACGGCCCAGACTTCCTGAAGCCTGTCTGTTGCTCTCCGCTAGAGCTACATCCACCGCCATTTTTGTGCCGGCGCCCTGCCGCTTATGATCTGAATCTCTCTCTGGGAGCCTGCCCTTCTGAGCATGTTCTCAGGAGTGGCCAGCTATCTCAGTGGTGAGGGTCTGGGTGAAGGATGGGGGTTTGCAAACTGGAGTCTCCGGTAATGGAAGAGGACCTGGGCTCTTGAGTCACTGTGTTGTGGGGCTGCTGGCTCAAGGTCATCTTCATGACAGAGGTCCTCTTCTAGGCCATTCCCCGGTTCATAGAGGTCAAGTGTGCCTGAGCCTTCTACCTGGGCTGCCACACCTTCACCTGACACTTGCTCATCTGTGAGGCATTACCTAGGACCTGGTATTGGTATGGGCGGAGGGGGCTTGCTCTTGGAGGGTGGGAGGGTCCTGTGCCCCTGCCCCTGCCACTCAGGCACCCCGATGAAGGCCACTGGACTGGAGGCCCTGCTCAAAGCAGAGCTGTGTGTGAACTCTTCTTACCAGATAAGGATGTGGGCATGTCTTTCTCCCCACAAACTTTCAGAATTGTGATTCTCCACCCTCTGCTTGCCTTGGGTATAAGCTCCAAGCCATCGATCCAGGAATCTGAGCCCCTGCCTGCCTGCCTCTTCCTCGAGACCTGAGTCCAGGCCTCCAGACCTTGCCCCCTCAGCCCCAAGTATCTTGGCCTCCGGCCCCCTCTTTCTGCAGAGACGCCAGAGTCGGGGCCCCTCTCTTCCAGGATGGAAGGTTGCAGAACCCACAGGAAAGCATGACACAACCCTCAACTGTCCCCTCTGGCCACATCCCCCATTTAACTCACACCCTGGCCTCACTTGCCACCTCCCACCTTGAGGCCCCCAAGCCTCTCACACCTCTTCCAGGAAGCATCTTCTGATGTTAAGGGCTCTAAGGGTGGGAGGTACAGAACCTAAAACAGACAGGCAAGTTCTGAACCACCCCTCAAACCACTGATGAGGTGACACTCTCCACCACACACTATGAGGGGACTTGAATCTCCTTGGGGGGAGGGCGTTGTCAGGGTAACCAGGAAGGGAGGGCTTACTGCAAGAGTCAGCTACTGGGAACTGCAGGAGACCACACCAGCCTGGTTTCAAAGGCTTAAAGTCTTCTCTTTCTGGAGCTCAGAGGACCCACGACCACCAGCTTCTTCATCTCCCAGGCCCCAGACACCCAACTGCTCATCTCCATGGAGCTCTGTCGGTCCTTGGCCTTATTCACTGGCTGCCTGGGCCTGGTGTCCATCCTGATCGCTTTGAGCACGGATTTCTGGTTCGTGGCCATGGGGCCTAACTTTTCATTTCACTCGGGCCTCTGGCCAGAGGGGTTTCACAATATGGTGGCAGGTAAGGGATGGCAGTCTCTTTTGGTGGGGGGGAGAGGGGCTGCGTGAGGGGCAGGCACCCAAATCTTCTCTCTTGCACAGCCTACATCCACGTGACACAGAGCTTCAGCATTCTGGCCGCCCTGTGTGGCCTGGTGTCGGTGATCCTCATGGTCCTGTCCTACATCCCCTCAGTGTCCATTCCAGGCCGCGGGCCCCTTGCCTCCTCTGTCACAGCCTTTGTTGCAGGTAGACTCCAGGCTGTACCTGGGGACTGGGGACTGGTGAGTTCCCACAGAGGTGCTGAGCAGTCTCTCCTGTCTTTATCCTCAGCCATCTTCGTGATGGTGGCCATGGTCGTCTACACCAGTGAGCGGTGGAACCAGCCCCAACACCCCCAGATCCAGTCCTTCTTCTCCTGGTCTTTCTACCTGGGCTGGGTTTCGATGATTCTCTTGCTCTGTGCAGGTAACCGCTGCTCCAGGAACTGGAGAGGCCGGCTGGGGGACCTCTGAGAGAGCAGGGTGGGGCAGGTGTTAACCTCTCTCTGTCACCCCAGGTAGCCTGAGTCTGGGTGCTCATTGCAGTGCCCCCCGGCCTGGCTATGACACCTTGTGAGCGAGAGAGGCGACAACAGCAAGGTGAGGCGCTATTCTCTGAAGACACCATCAGGAGCCTCAGGCCCCCGCAGCCCCCCCTCCAGCCCTCCCCCCCAGCCCTCCCCCAACCCCTTCATTTGCTTCTTTACCCATTCAACAAACATTTGCTGGGATCTGGTAATTCTGGGATTAATTCCGTCATGACATAAGCTGAGGGCAAGCCAGCTCCATGCTGGGTGACAGAAAGGACTCAGAGCCCTTACCTGTCATCCGTCTGCTACCAGCCGGTATAGGGGCCACTGTGGCCCCATGTCAGCTCCCTTTCCAGGCCTTGCCTTTCTCCGTTTCCACCTCAACACCCTGTCCTTTGTCTTTCCCACATTAGTGCTCTTTCCTTCTGACTCCCTGATTTTGCCACCCCTGTCTTCACTCTGGTCCTCCTCGCTCGTTTCATTCACTCATTCACACATTGATTCATTCACTCCTTCAGCTGGCTTCTCCCGAGTTCATCCTTTCTGTTGGGTCTCCCTGGGGATGCTGATGGGAACCTGAGACCTGGGCCTTGCCCACTGGGGGCTGCAAGTCCGGTGGGGGAATTGAGACAGCAGTCAGGCGGTGGCGGGGGGGGAGGTGAGCTTTCTGGGGAGAGGGTGTTTAGGGGTTTCTCGAGGGCCAAGGCAAAGTCATCCGGGCAGTGGGGCCCAAAGGTGTGGAGAGGCTGGAGGTTTTCAGGGGATGGAGAACAGTGCTCTGTGGCAGAATGTGGAATGCAGAGGTCATTGGGGTGTGAGGGTGGAGAGGTGGGTGAGAGCCAGGCCCCTAAGGCCACAGTGACTCTCTCTTGAGAGCAATGGGGGGCTAGAAGAAGGTTGTGAGGTGGGGAGGGACAGCGCCAGCCGCAGGTGCCCTATAGATCCCTCTGGGATATGCAGGGAGGTCAGAAAGGACAAAGGAGCTTGGCAATGCAATGGGTATGACTGGGACCGGAGCATGAGACGGAGAAGAGGGAAGGGGCCAGAAAGATTCAGGGGCTGGAAGGAATGGGACACAGGGATCCAAGGGCTTTGTGGAGTGATGGGCAGGAGGGGGCCAGGTTAGTGCCCAGGGTTCTGGTGCAACCAACTTGGGTGGGATGGTGGGGTCATCCCTGTTTTGGTGGGAGATGTTGAGCTCAGTTGGGATGTGGTTGGCAGGGGTCTGGGACAGAGAAGTGGGCTGGAGATGGTTTGGGTTGCTATCAGAGAATCAGTGGCCGAGGGAGTCGTGGCTGTGAGGAAACTCATCGGGTAAGAAGGTGCAGGATGGAGATTCCAGGAAAACCAGCCCTGGGAAGTGGAGGGAAGATCAAGAACAGGAGCCTGCATGGGGGTCTGAGAGGGCACAGCCAGAGAGTTGGGGGCCTGGAGAGCTTCTGGGGTCAAGGGAAGAATTTTCAGCAGGATATGGTCTATCGTGTCATGGCCATCTGACTCTGAGCTGTCACTTTGTTAGAAAAGCTGTGTGTGGGGGGGTTTTTGTGTGTGTGTGTGGGTGTGTGTGGGTGTGGGTGTGGGCGGGTGGTTATCTCTTTAAGTGGCTGATGAGAGAGGGGGTTCTGGAACTCCTCCTGCCTCACAGAGACCCAGTCTCCCTTCCCCCACACCTCTGGACTCTGTGTCTAAGAAGCCCCTTGAGCTGGGTGTCAGGCATTTAGGTGGGTGTGTGCATGGGGGTTGGGGGAGGGCACTGGACAGGTTAGGGGCACACTCCACTGGAGGATGGAGATGTTTGAAAGGCAGAGACGTCCTTAAGCTGTGACTCCCTGTGGGTAAGGTCTCAAGGTGCCCAATAGTAGCAGTAGGACATGGGAGAAGGAGGTCTTGGGTTTGGGAAGGGCCTGAGGGAGGGGTCCCCAGACAGGGGTGCTGGGGTGAAGTCTGGGATATGTAGGGACTTGTGTGTGTGGGTCTCAAGGGCTTGAAAGAGCTGAGAGAGGGGGCTGGGGGTGGGGGGAGTGTTGGCCAATCTTGCGTGTGTGACCCTCCGCAGCAGCCTCCCTGGCATGGGGATGAAGCGGCGCCTTCAGAGCGGGGGCACCTTGCTGGGCTTCTTGACCCAAATCCTCACGATTCTCTCCACTGCCACCAACTACTGGATCCACTACCCTGGGGGCCACAGTGGCCTGTGGAAGGAGTGTAATGGCGGCATCTGCTCCAACATCCCCTGCCAGAGTGAGGCCCCACCCGCCCAGATGTCCCCCACTAGACAGACAGCACCCCCCCCCCCCCCCCGCCCCGGCACTGAGCACAGCTGGCCCCCTCGCCTCACACAACAGCTGGGCACATCCTGCGGCGCCCCCACCCTCACCCCTTCCTCTCCAGTCTCAGATCCACCTGCTCCTCCGCGACAAAGACTACCACGAACCCCCACTTGGGGATCTGCTTCCCTGTTGGGACATTAACCGCCCCTCATGAAGCAACTTGCGAGTCCCTATCCAAACTAGAGCGGCGGGTGGGGGTGGTGGCCCGGGGCGGCACCAGCGCGCGGCTGAGGCGGCCGCTCTCCCCAGCCATGCTGGCGGTGGCGGGCGCGTGCATGGTGCTGGCGGCGTGCTCCGCCGTCGTGGGTTTGGTGATGGGGCTGAGGATTCTGTGCCACGAGGGTGACTCGCGGGGCCAGACTATGAGCGGCACCTTCTTCCTCTGCGGTGAGATGGCAGCGGGCCCCCAGGCATAGGGCGGGCTTGGGAGTTGCGGGGGGCAGGGACCCAGGGTCTTGCACTTGGAGACGCTCGGAAGGGAATGAGGGGAGGGGCCGGAGACCCAGAGGAGGGCGTGGCTGGGAGGAGGGGGCGTGGCCTGGGCGACGGGCGCGGTCTAGGGGCGCCTCCGCGCTGCGCCCTGGCTACGCTCACCCCGGGCGCGGGGCCCAGGGCTGCTGCTGCTGATCGCCCTGACAGGCTACACCGTCAAGAACGCGTGGAAAGACGACGTCTTCTTCTCATGGTCCTATTTTTCGGGGTGGCTGGCTTTACCCTTCTCTATCCTCGCGGGTAACCTGGACAGCGGGACGAGGGTGGAGGAGACTGCCCTGAGCACCCCCCTCCCCATAGACTCCCCGTCGCCCTCCCAGGGACTCCCCAGCACACTCCGCTCCCGACTCCCGCACACCCGGCAGGATCGCCCTTAGAGCTCCGGACCCCCGTCCCCGGGGCGCTCCCCGTCATCCGCCCCAGGACCCACCGTCCCCCACCCGCCCTCCGCTCCTCTCCCGCCAGGCTTCTGCTTTCTGCTGGCGGACATGATCGTGCAGAGCACGGACGCCATCAGCGGATTCCCCGTGTGCTTGTGACCGCAGCCTGCCTGGGGCAGAATAAAGGAACGGCTTTCACCGCCGCGGCTCGTGTGCCTTTCTGGGGGACACGAACGCACGTGGGAACATGGATATGAAGAGGACGGGGGACCGGGACACGGGGATCCCTGGGAGCTCAGGGAGGACATAAGCACATGAACCTACAGGGAACGTGGAACATGGGGACACGAGCTTGGGGTGGACAAGGACACGGACTGGGAGGGGGAACGGGAATCAGGGGTAGTGGGGTCAGGAGCGCACAAGGGCGTTTGGAGGGGATGTAGGGACTTGCAGGGAAAACGAGTATAGGGGAACACAAGGGGCATGATCATGGGACGAGGAACATGGCAAAAAGAAAATGGGGAGACACAAGAGGACTTAGGGGACACGAGCATGGCGACTTGTAGAGTTGAGGAAAAGGCGGGGGACTGGGGAAGGGGATAAATCGAGGACACTGGGAAAAGTTTAGAATTCGTGGGAGGAACCACGCTCCACTCCGGGAGCATCTCCCTACGCTCACGGCCTTTCCCCTAGTTCCCGGCCACGCCCCCTCCTCTAGGTCAGTTTCCTTTCCCCTCGGGTCCCGCCTCTTTGTCCAAGATTCGTTCCCTATTGGCCCCGATCCTCTTGCCACACCTGCCTCCCTTCCGGGCCTCCGGTTGGTCCTCTGTTGGGGCGGAGGCGGGCACCATAGCGGTTGACTGGCTGGCTGCGTGGAGCGCAGGCGCAGAGAGGGGCGGGGTGCGGGGGCGGAACGAGAAGTCTCGATCTGGGCAGCGAGCTCACTGACCCCGGCAGGTGGCAGAGGTAGGAAGATGGCGGAGCTGCGTGCGCTCGTGGCTGTCAAGAGGGTCATCGACTTCGCTGTGAAGGTGACCGCCCCCCCCCCCCAACCTCCCCGAATCCCGCGGCCGTGTGCTTCCGGGGTCACTGTATGGGAGGTCTTCTCGTACCTCTGATCTCTCCCGCTCTCCCCCCAAACGTCAAAGTACACCAGAGGGCAAAGATCAAGGACTGTGAGGTTCAGACCTCAGATCTCTCTTCATTCAGACCAGGCCCCTCTGGGGTCATGACCCCGTTCCCTTTTCTCGAGTCTGGATTCGCTGTCTTCATAGGGTGCAGTGCGAGTCACCTTCTCTATTTCTTACCTGCTGGAGGTGTCATGGCCCCTATTTATTAACACATGGAGAAACTGAGGCACAGAGAGGTCACTCAGCTAGGATGGGATAGAGCTGAGATTTCCGCTCCAGGTCTGTCTGGCTCCTCAACCCAACTAAATGCTTTGCACACAAGCCACACTTTAACCTTTAGGCTGCTTTGCACACTCCGTTGATTATTCCAATACCGGGCGCTGTGGGAACCCAGAAACTGTCTTTTACCCTACGTAGCCACAGGGTGAGTGAAGAGGTCCTGCTGGGAAGGGAGGGTGAAGTGTTTGCTGGAGACGGAATCCCGTCGGACTGAGCTGGTGGAATGACTCACATTCTCCATGAGGGGCCTGGGGGCAGCGTCTCTGAGGGCCTGGCTTGCCCCCAGGGAGAAGCTGGTCTGGACAGAAGTGAATCAGACGCAGTCTCGCAGGCCCGTGTCTCCTATTACTTGGCTTAAAGCAGACTGAAGGTGGTGACTGCCCATCCACGTGTGTCCCCACCATCAGACTGGGGTTCCACCTCTGCGTCTCCAGCATTGCCCAGCATAGGGCCTAGCTTGCCAGAGGCCTCGGGATGCATGAAACCAGGGCCCCTGCCAGTTTGGGGGGTGGGGTGGGCAGGAGGTCCCGGCAGCCGGGCTTGGCGTGGAAGCTTCAGTGATCATAACTGCCCATGTGTAGTGAGCGATTACTACGGAGGAGCAGGGCTCCAAGTCCTTGGCAGAGATTAACCCATTCAGTGCTTTCAAAAGCTGCTAGGTATTATCAGTCCCGTTAGACAGGTGAGGAAACTGAGAACCGTGGAGGTTCTGTTACCTGCCAGGTCACCCCGCTCCAGGCAACCAGAGTCAGAATCACAAGTGCAGGCAAGTCCCGCTCTGGTCTCTCCTCCTCCCCTTTTCACTCAGCAGCTGGGAGGCCCGATGACAGCAAATGGCAGGGATGTTGCTCGGGGTTCTGGGACCTGCCCTCCTGGTTTCCTCCGACCTGTAACTGTTCCTTCGGGCTCCGTCGCCCCCCGGGTCTCCTTCTGCCCCAGTCCGGGTCTCCATGGCCTGAGATGCCTCGGTCGTATCTGTCTCCCCGACCCGGCAGGCTCCAGTTTCATGGGCTTTGGGTCGCAGCCGCATCCAGCACGGGGACTGGCATGGGTGTGTGCCGAATGAGAGAACAAAGAGGGGGGTGTCAGCTGCTGTCCTATCCCTCTGGTCCATCCTCTCCCAGCCTCACAGCTCTTCCTGCACCGGGAGCTGCCCCGAGGCTCCCCAGCACCCTCAGGACAAAGTCCCAGCCCCTCAGTGTTTGAGACCCTTCGTGGTCCGGCCTTGGCCCCTGTTCTGCCGTCCACGGTGCCCTGTTCCTCCCTTACCCCTTGTGCTTCCATAGCTCCCACCTAATCTTTCCTGACAGACAGGGCTCCTTCTTGGCTTGGGCCCTTGTCCTCGCTGGGCCTTCTGCCTGGATACCCTTCCCTCTCCAGCCCTACTTGTACCTCCCTTGTCCTGCTCAACGCTGATCTGTCAATCGCATCGGCATTTAGTGATTCTCTGGTACCCCCTGTCCCAACCCTCTCCTGCTCCTTGTTGTGTCCTTGGACCCTCCTGCAGCCCCCTGGGCTTGCCTCTCTGCGCTCTTCTCCCACACTGGATTGGGATCCTCTGTCCACCCAGATGTCCCCTCCCCCCACTGGTGGCTCCTCAGGGTGCGTGCACTTCGTTCCACTCTTGCCTCACTTGTCACCTTCTCTGGGAGGCCTGCCCTGGATCCTGACTTAAAGTTGCAACCCCCATCGTTCCCGTCCCCTCCCTGGCTGTCATTTCACCCATACTCTGGTCTCTTTGTAACCTCCTCTCATCTACTGATTGCCCTCTTTAGTGTCTGTCCCTCCTTCCAGATGTCCAGCTCCAGGGTGGGGAGGAGGGTCTGTCTGATGTAGTCACTGCTGTCTTAGTCATTGGTTCCCTCACAAGAACGGTTCGGAGCCAACTCCAGGCCGGCTGCCCGGGTCAGCTTCCTACCGTGTGACCTTGGGGAGCTGCGTAACCACTCCGAGCCTTATTTTCCTCCACCCTACAGCGGGGATAACAAGAGTACCTCCTGAATTGGGTGGCGGTGAAGATCGGATAAGCTCTTAGAGTAGTGCCTGGCTGTGGGGCGCCAGGGTGGCTCCGTCGGTTGAGCGTCCAACCTCAGCTCAGGTCATAATCTCACGGTTTGTGAGTTCGAGCCCCGCCTTGGGCTCTGGGCTGACAGCTTGGAGCCTGCTTTGGATTCTGTGTCTCCCCATCTCTGCCCCTCTCCCCACTTGCTCTCTCTCTCTCTCTCTCTCTCTCAAAAACAAGTGTTGGCTGGCACGCAGTGAGTATTGTTATTATTGACAGTACTAGTAATGCAAGTTTACTTAGTCATTTGTTCAGAAACAGATGCCGTGCTCAGTGTGTGTCCGTGTGCACGTCTGTGATTGTGTGTTTAGGGTATTACTCAATAGGCAACCAGCGACACTCAGTTCTGGCCCATGAGGCTGTACCCTTCAGAGTTTCTTTTTTTTTTTTTAATTTTTTTTTTCAACGTTTTTTATTTATTTTTGGGACAGAGAGAGACAGAGCATGAACGGGGGAGGGGCAGAGAGAGAGGGAGACA